CTTATGAGCCCTTCTGAGTACCCTGAGAACATAGTGCTTGGCACGTGCTGTTCTCACCATGGAAAGCTTCTGTGAGGGAACGAGAGAGACAGCCTCTGATGATGTTCCCAACAGTGTTGGCTATCTTTGTACCAAAGGGAAAAGAGGTACTTGAAGCAGCAGAGGACCATCGCCAGGTTTGTATGATTCAGATGTGAGGAAATGATTCTCTGATTTAAAAGGACATCTCATTTCCTAGGTCAAAATTCCTCCTGCATTTTCTCCTTGCTGCTGATTACTGCTGACAGAATGATACTCTTCACAAAAGTAGCCCTTGGCTCCTCAGGGTTTACTCTCCTTTAGTGGCTACCCTGTGGCTCACGGCTGTGTAACAACGCAAAACCACTCTCCATTCAGTCTGGAGAGGAAGAATCCCTGATTAATGGGTGTCTTGGAAAGATGGAGAGTATTTGCTCAGGGCATAGTTTTTAGCCTCAGCATTTGAAATGTTGCAGGAGAAGTTGAAAGATGAAAGGGAGTGTTACCAGTGTTGAAAATGTAGGATTTTTTTCTCCCTGCTTTTCAGAACATGCTAAAAGGAGAAACCCATTATTTATAATGTCACAAAGCAAAGTGACAATTTCTTTTGTTGAGCTGCTGTTCTGACAGATTATATTGAAAAGTGCCCTTTATATGAAAAACAGTTTTCGTGGAAAACAAACATTCAAAGTATGTGCAAAATATTTTATGCCCTCTTATATCATTAAATTTAAGTGTCAGATCTTTTGGCAAGCTCTTCAATAACAATGAGGAAGCTTTTTCAGAATTTTTCTGAATTCTTCAAGATGAGAACTTTAGACTTCTTGCACTGACACTTTTTAATCAGCTAAAAGCTGGTTTTCAGTGAAGTTTTTGCACTTGGAAATAATTTTATATTTTTAACACAAACAATCCTGTTCAAATTGCAGCCTGTGCAAATGTAAACTTGAGTTCTAAGGTGAAAAATGTGATGGTTACAAATGAACAGGCGCTGAATAGCATTTTGCTAGCTGTTTACTGCTACTTTAACAGCATCTTTTCTTAGGACTCATTACCTCATGTATTCACTCACTGCATGTCTAGGTATTTATCAGACTATCCTAGGTGTCACTAGTAAACTGTTAGCCAACTATCTGCTGCAAAGGGAGACAACTCCAGTAGAGGAATCTGGGAATTACACACTTTATCCAGTGATGCTGTATCCATGAGACCATCCATTCTCCTCCATTTCAGGAACTGTCTTAATTCTTATTTTCATGGAATCACAGAATGGTTTGGGTTGGAAGGGACCTTAAAGATCATCTAGTTCCAACCCCCCTGCCATCAGCAGGGACCCCTTCCACTAGACCAGGTTGCTCAAAGCCTCATCCAGCCTGGCCTTGAACACTTCCAGGGAGGGGGCATCCACAATTTCCTTGGGCAACCTGTTCCAGTGTCTGACCACCCTCACAGTGAAGAACTTCTTCCTAATATCTAATCTAAACCTGCCCTCTTTCAGTTTAAACCCATTTCCCCTTGTTTTGTCATTAACTGCCCTTATGAAAAGTCCCTCCCCAGCTTTCTTGTAGGCCCCCTTCAGGTACTGGAAGGCCGCTATAAGATCTCCCCAGAGCCTTCTCTTTTCTTTCTCTTCACATTTGGAGCAGGATTACAGCCTCCTTATTAAATTTTAACTTAAACCAAAGAAAGCAATACTGAAATGGTGATCGTTTGGAAGATGCGAGAACATGCTATTCAAGGGACAACTTTTTAATATACTAATCAAAACAAGTAATTTCTTGCTACTGGCTCTGACACCACTTTGTTTTCTAGGTGACCTTTCCAGAGAAATCCCCCATGCAGTGGGATGGCAAAGTTAATGCTGGTTTTACTGAAGGGAACAGTAGCTGGTTACCGGTTAACTCTGACTACCAAAGTGTCAATGTTGAAGTAGGTATCTGTATGTGTAACTGACACGAATGGTTGAGATATAGTTTAATGTACCTATTTAGCTCTGACTTCTTTTCCTTAGTGGGAATTGGTAGTGTAGTTAGTAAGAATAAACTCAAGGGAGGAAAATAAAAAGGCATTGAATCCTAACAAGTTCTATTAGAAAAGGAAATGCTTGCACGAGCAAGGAGTCTCCGTAATCTATATTCATTTAAGCAGGGCATCTGCAGTGACGATGTAGATGTGGCAATTTGGCTCTTTAAAATTATTAAAAGGTTAATACTAAATTGAAATCTGGTCTTTTTTTCACTTCTATTACTATAGAAAACACTGGCTTTGTAACAAGAACTTAACATAGACCATCTCTAACATAACTAAACAAAACATTTTTTTCAAGGCAGTTGAGCAGTGAATCACAGATTTTGCTGATCTACGGTGCTGACCAGAATTGAAACCAGACAAAAATAAATAGAAGACAGGAAAAATAAAACACAAAACAAACCCTGTGACTTTGGTCACTTAGACTTGGTGAAAAAATTTCAGCATCAAGCTTTGAATGGCTGTGTATATACATAATACCTGTATAAATGTTATTATGACATAGTGGGAGGAAGACATAGTGTTAGTGCTGGGGAAATTCTGTCCTGCCTAATAACCTCTGACACTCCACAAGTGCCAAGAAGGGCAATGAGAAAAAGCAGTTTTTTCAGTGGAATTTGCAGACAAGTTTGAAGAGGGATAATGGTAAAAATGGAATTCTGATAGGTGCGTTCTTGGCAGACTGCCTGGGTATGAGGTGAGTATTATTTCCTACATCCAGTGGCATGACCCTGTTAATGCTGGCTGTTGCAGATCCAGATGACCGGGTCCAACTCAACCCTGAATTTGTACAGAGAGCTAACTTCACTTCGCAACAATGAGCTGCCCATTCATCGGGGGTGGATGTGCTACGTCTGGAATGACAGTAATGTTTTTGTGTATGTGAGGGAACTGGATGGCTTAGACAGAGGCTTTATGATGGTTCTCAATTTTGGGCAGGAATCGACAATAGACCTGAAAGCTATCATTCCTAACCTTCCATCTGAAGCTATTATAAGGCTAAGCACTAATTTTAGCAATGCTGGTAAAGCTGTCAATACCAAACTAATTAAAACTGAAATGGGAGAAGGCCTGGTCCTCGAATACAAAACAGCAAAGCCTGTTCATACTATGGAAGCCTTTCAAGGAAATTGTTTTGTGGCAGAAAAAGCTTGTTATTCCAGTGCCTTCAATTTACTCTATGTGAACTGTTAAGTGCAGGAGTAGAATAACCAAGCTTTCATGTTAATTTAGAAAATGTTGGTTTCAGGGAAATGCTAAAAATTTTCAGTCTTCTTTGGCTTTTAAAACTTTGTGTACAAAATAAACGTCCTGAAAAATAAAACAGATACCTAATTGTCTTGCATCTGTATTAGTGAGGAAAAGGAAGAAGTATGGTATAAACTCCCCCTTAGGGTCTGTGGAGAAGAACCGTAAACCTGTCCTAAAAACCTGTGCTGTTTAAATGTGTTTATTTTTGTGAGGAAAAAGAACAGTTGCTTTTTGGGTGCTGCCCCTTACTGTTGCTGGTCACTAAGAGCTCCTGTGGAATCCAAAGCCTGTAGCAGTTCACAAACCCTGTGGCAGTTCACGTTGACTTTTAAAAGTCTGTAGATTTGTAAAACTTATTCTAAAGGGGTGGCTTCATATTTGTTAAAATAGGTAAAAGCAAGTATATACAGTTGTGATGACTTACCTCTTCTCTCAACTTCTAACAGCTGTGATTATCCTCAAAGTTAGTACAAAAAAGAACAAAATATAGCTAATTTGTCTAATTCTACACTTGGGACTCTATTTCCGATTGATTCCCCCCCCGATGAGTTAGACTACCTTTGCATTCTCTTACTTCTTTTTCTGCCCTGAAGGTGAGATGAGGTGTGGCAACTGAAACAACCCTCCTGAACGTCACACTAGTCCACATTTTGATTTGCGTTTGGAGCAGTTACAGTGGCGCATGTGCCACAAAGGAAGGACGGGCATTTGACTCGGTGCAATCTGTTTTGGACACAGAGGTGATCTAGGAGACTGCTTTGGTTTGAGGACCTTATGGCCACATAGCGTATTTTCCATCAACTGTCTGCACCAGTTCCTGGCCCTAGGTGTGCACCATGCATCTATCTCAACAAGCAATGTGTAGCAGTTTTGTGCCTTGCTCAGAGGTCAGCTAAGCTATGAATCAGGCTGCTTTAGTGGGGGTGTTGTTTTTGTTTTATCCTCTGGAAAGACTCTGGCATCTTCTTCTGGGGCATTCATCTTGTCTTCCGGAGGGACTTTGGCACCTCCTTTTTAAGATTACCATTATAGTTAAGGTAACTGCAAGATTTTGAATCTACTCAGATGAAAGAATTCTGCTAAAATTCCTGGTTTTGAGAGTCAATTTCTTCTTTGCAGTTTGTTTGATCCCACCATATGATCAGTACACTGTGTAGCTAGGAACGGCAACAGTCATCATAGAATCATAGAATAGTTTGGTTGGAAAAGACCATTACGATCAGCTATGTATCACCTATGTATGGGAATTAGTTTTAGAAGACCCTAGTGAGACTTTTAAATCAAATACTTCTTGGAGTTTCATTGCCTTGTGTAAAATGTGGTCTTGGAAGAGAGGGCTTAGACTGGAAAGGCTGCCTGTATGAAGTGCCTGTCTTCACGTTAGGCTTTAAGCACCAACCAACCGTTGTGCTTCAGCTCCACTTGTGCAGTGCTGCACTGCTTGCCTATGTGAACAGAACCCTACTGAACAAAATGATTAATGCAGGCAGCTACTTCTGTACCATCTGGCAGGGGAGAAATTCAGCTCTTAGTTTGTGTATTTGGTAAGCCAATGCCATGCCCAACTTTGTCTTTGAATTTCTTGTCTGCTTATGCCCATAAAGCAGAGATCCAAGAGGAGAGATCCTCTGGAGAAGGTGTTTGCTTTTCATACAAATAAAAACCCGACCTGCAGTTCTTCAGGCGGTCAATGTGTTTATTAGCTATTTGCAGGATTTGATATCACGTTGGAGATGGCATACTTCCTCCAGTTCTTTGTTCAGAAAAGCAAGGTGTCTTGCAACCTAAAATAATGAAAATATTTTATTGCAAAATAAAAAGAATTCTTTGCACTATAAACCTTCAGGTTCTTGTACAGCTGTCCTAATCGCCTTCCTTTCCCATGCCAGTGCTAAGCAGTACCTTGCCAGAATGAGGCTTTTCCTGAAAGAATTAATTTTGGGAATAACTGCCACAATAACCAAATAACATTTGCTTTGTTAAAATTAACAGTAATAAATCTGGATCCAACTGTGATAGTCTGAGACATCGGTGACAATATGGTGGGTCTTGGCAGCATGTTGCTTTTAGCCTGTATGCTCACAGAAAGTGCAAAATGTTGAAACCTAATTGTAGTCCTTTGATTATACAGATCATGCAATTCAAAATGAAAAGATCAAACCTGTCATATATGTTTTACTCATGAGGAAGATGGAAGTAAATAGCCAGTATGACAGTTTTAAGCACTTAATACTCTACAGTGCAAGACTCTTCCTGCCAGAACAATATTTTGCAAAACTTAGAACCTTTCATTCAAAGCTCTCAGCACGTTACAGTGGGAGTTTAATACTATTTTGAGGCTTAAGGCACAATGAAGCTCAGTCTGGCTCTGTCACTATCTCTTTTTTACATATTTTATAAAATTTTTTATAAATTTTACATATATAAAACCTGTAGTTGCTCTTGCAATATGCATAAAAGGTTGCAAGAACAACCTTAATTCCAGCAGTTTGTTGTTTTTTTTCTTTTAATAGTTACTTACTGTACTCTTTTAAATGTACATTCAGTGACTGCATGAACTACTAAGGTTGAAGTATCAATCAAGGGGATGCTTCCCTTCAACCTGTTATGGATGTGTGCAATAAAGGGAACATACCTCATTCAGTGAATCCTCCCAAGATGAATCACAATGACTGCCAGTTGCCTGGATGTCTAAGATAATATTAGGGATCCAATTTCCTGGAACAATAAAGCTAGCAATCACTTGACATTGAATGAACAAGGAAAACAGGTAAGTGGGGATGTGAGTTGTTTAGGGACAGATAATTCTGCCTTCTGTCCTGACAATTTCTGTTATTCTTTAAAAATAATAATAAAAAAATCTTATGGGGGTTGCTGGATGAACTACTTGTATTTGTCTTAACTACATATTTGAAGAATGTTTATTTAGCATGTTTCTTCTCTCTCTGAGTCTTTTTGGAAAGACGTGCTTTTTTCTTTCTGAGTAAAGACTGCAACAGCAATTGCAGCGCCTGCTATCCTTTCTCAACCACTGCAGTTGTGCTGCTAGCAGAGAAGGGGCATAATGAAATTTAGAAAAGCTAATTCAAGATCTATTTTGGTACTGACAGTAAAAGCCTCTCCCCAGATTAGATGGTACTAGAAAATAATAAGGCTTGAATGTACCTTTTGCTGGAAACAGTCCCAAAGCTAGTGTTAAGTTCCAGGTATAAAAGCAGCTATGCCTTGGCATTGTTGTCATTCTAAGTAGGACTAACACCTGCAGTTTTAGCAAACTGGGAAAAGCAGGTTTTAATAGAGCAGCAAGAATAAGATTTTTATCCATGTGTTGTTGAGAACTGCAGTCTGACCATCTCAATAGCTGGAATAGCCGGTGTGGGTTCACTGAGCCCTGTCCAACCGCTGCTGTATGTTGCGGCCCAGGAAAGAATAAGCCCAACTCATATTCTGCCAGGCTTTATTTTTTTTTTAATCTCAGAGGGTTTCCCAAGCCTGCTGTGGTTTGTCACTATTGGTATTTAACACCTATGGGTTTGACTGTTTGCAGGAAGGTCCACAATACAGAGGTACGTGGTCCTTCTTAAGGCTCTGGAGAGTGCATCTTAGAAGCTGAGGCTTATCTCTTTGTCAGTATGACCGCACATCTCATCTTTGCGGATAATGGACATTACTTCAGAGCTTTGGATACTGGATCATATTGTACATGTGAATGTATTTAAGGAGGAGTCAATCTCTACGGTGTTTAATTACATGACTACTAATATTCTGGTTTAGTTACCTCCATGCATCTGTAATATTCTTATTCTTACCTTGCTTACTTGTTCTGCTGGCATGATCTAGTGCAGCCTCCCTAAGTTTCTGAACATACTGTAAAACTCCTATTAGTGGTATCCGCTGATCATCTTCATATGCCGTAATAAAAACTGAAGGATAACACTGAGATTAAAAAACAAAACCAGTTAAAGACTTGTTACTTTACGAGAATAATCAGTTGTCACATTCTTCTCTATTTATCTTACTATACTACTTGTTATGGTTTATCTGGAAACACATCTCTTGCATAATTACTTGCTCTTAAAAAAGCACTTCTATCCTTCTAACTGCAAAAAGTACTTTGGTCTGAAAAATTACTTCATATTATGGGATCACTTACTTGCAAAAGGTAATAAAAAACATCCTCTCCCCACTAGTAAAAGTCTGACACATGTCTGCTTGCTGATGATTACAAAAAAAGGGAGGTAGTAATCATGGAACCGTTCTCCTTAGAACAGTAGTTGAGGTTTACTTTTGCAGTCTTTCTACACATAAAAAGTAGTTGCTTTATACAGTAAGATTTTACTTAATGAAGCTATGCAACACAGCTCACACATTACTTCAGATAAAGAAAGATCTCCTCTGAGATGACGATGTCAAAGTTATAGCTCCTTTTCCATTTAATTGTTTGCCTCTGAAAAGGTATTTAATCAGTGGAAAACACCTCCTTCCTCCTGTGACAAACTCTGTAAAACCCAGTAGAACAGAAACCCCCCACATAAGGAGAAGGTATTTTACATGTTAATGTTTGTTATGCAATAGAATAATCTATTACTTTCTATCTGTCCTATAACAACAATAGTTTTTGAAAGCTATTTATTCTTTAGGACAAGGCGTTTGGTTAATTTCAGTAATCACTTATGACTCCAAATATTGCTAAGATTATTACTGAAATAGTTTATATTTGTATTGATGATTCACTTTAACACAAAGCAGCAGCTAAGACAATACTAAATACTGCAGTTTAAAGCACTGAAAAGGTAAAATAGACTTTTTAAAAAATTCCAGTTATCTGCTTTTTGTTTTCTTATAAACCGCTACATTTTATTACTTCAGTGTTCCGCACAGAAAGCAGTTTTACCTGTGTCTTAATATTCTGGTATGGACAATAGCTTTTGATATACTTCATACATTTTTCATCTGCTAATGGATTTCCCCATTCTTCCTGTTCTTCAATTGTCAGTGGGAGATGAGTTTTCATCATTGTATTTAGAACATCTACGAAAGGAGCCTTAGAAGTTATTAAAAAAAAAAAAGAATTGGCAAATAGGACACAGAACCTCAAATCCTAGGTCCAGGTTTTCTCAAACAAATGAGGAACGTGAATTCTGAATTGGAATGTTTCCAATTCTGAAACTGGTAGAATGAAATAGAAAATAAGAGTTTAATGTCATAATCGGTAAAAGGTCTGCAGCACCTCACCTGTAAAACCATGGCTCTGATAAGTTCTGGATCAGTGTTGCACAGGGCTCCTGCAAGAACTCCTCCTGCACTGGCAGCAGCTAGTGCTGTGTATTTTGGCTGAGAAAATCCTAGTTCGTGCAGCAGCATGATGCAAGCCTTAAGGTCATGGAGACCTTTCTGTTTATTATACTGACATCCATCTCTGTGCCACCTAAGGCCCAGCTCTCCTCCGCCCCTGAAATTTGAAGCAATTCAAGTTAGAGTCTCTTTGGAAAACATTACATGGCAAAGCTTCAGATAATGAAAGGACAGCAGCAGCCACAGAACTGCAAACCCATAGTTTGCCTTCCCAATTAACTCTTCTTTTCTCTATTCCTGTCCTTCATGGCTAAAATACACACGTGTAAATGAAAAAAAATCTGTGCATGATGATTGGTGACAATCCTAACTGCATGAGGGCACTCTGTGGCCTTGTGTGCTTCTGTCCTGGAGCTCACAGGAAAAGCACTTCAGAAAATGACACTGGAATTGTAGGCAATACAAGATCAGACACTACTATTATCTCTTTATACAGAAAACTACTAAAAAGATAACTGAAAGATTTTCAGTACTTATCACTAACACTAGCATTTATTAAAAACATTAAAACAGTATTTTTTTCAGGTCTGCACTGAGATGCTCAAGATGCCTTCTATGTAGCTTAAAATTTGTGACTGTTAGAAAGTTTCTTTTTTCTCCTAGTTTGTGAATTCCAAATACTACTCAAAATGTTAAATTTTGGAAAACTCACATAATTTAAAAATGTATTTATATTCATTTTCATGCAACTACAATTTTGGTTCTAAGCCACCTGAAGTTTACTTATTCAGGTTTCGAGTTTAAAGTTAACTCATTAGTCTGCAAAAAATACTTCATCTTTGGATGAATAATCCATCTAGGACTGACTTGCATCTTAATGTACTTAGAGGGGTGGGAGGAAGAACAGCACAATGCTTGCCACTGCATTAGCAGACTGAATATATTTGTATGCTGAATTTGTTTTGGAACTGGTATTTCAGACAGTTGCTCATTCTCCCCCTTTCTTCCCCTTCCTAAAGGGGGGGGTTCTTTTGTTACCTTCTTTACCTCCTGAATTACTATCTCAGTGGAAATGTGAAGCCTATTGTACGTGGTGGTTTTATAAAACTAGTAAATTTGTAGCTAAACTGGAGACAGAAAATTTAGCCAATAAAAGAACAAGGGATGCAGGTTAAATGCTTAGTTGTTGCTGTAGAAGGCAAATGGCTTTCAGAAGACGCAGACTGAACATTAGTACACAATGCCCTCGGAAAGAGAGGGAGGTAGCATGTCATTGCAATTTGGACATGCTATCAAAATTTTTCTTGAGCAAAGACGAAACAAGGAGTAATCAGACTTCAAAAGATTAAAAGTTACATACAACCATCCTGTTGATTTAAGAAACGTAAATGCAGTATGTGGTCTTAAAAGTATAATTTCTTTTTCCTGAGATTTTTTGTTGTTGTTGTTAAAAACCACTTTAAAAAAAAATCTATAAAAGAGATGGAAGTGAAAGGCATGAAGAATTAGGTATAGCTACATGAAAAAGTTATTTTTGTACCCCTTCAGTTGCACATCAAGAAATATCTGTATATCCCACAGATTAAAATCTTAATTTCATTTTATATTTAACTTACCTAACATGGCAATATGCTAATATCCAACCCTCTTCAATTAACATCAGCTTCTCTTCTTTAAAGCTCATGTTCAAATCTATGCCATAAGCTCCATATACATGAATCAGAAGTGGTTTCCTGTGTAGCTCTTTAGAATTCATATTATGAAAAACTGTAATTGGCACCAAAGTTTCATCCTGGAAATGAAGGAGTATTTTACAATAAAGGACATTTCAGAAATCTCAATGACACATGGCAATGAAAACTTCAATTATTTATTTTAAAATGTGGTTTTTTGATTACAGTAATTTTTTTCACTTAGAATGTACAAAGCACTCTTGAAAAATAAAGCAAGAGACTGAACCTCTGCTGTGTAGGCTTATAGATGCAGAATATAAAATTCATTTAAGTGCAACACCTGAGGAGTTTTTAAGCTACCAAACCACCCAAGTCTTCCTTTCCTCCTTTAACCCCAAGAATATCTATTATTAACAAAATAGTTTACCACTTACTGCAGCACAAACTCTTTATTAACATCTCCAATTTTTTCAACTCAGGCTGTTAAAACTTTCCTTTCTTGATCTACACTGTGCAGCTGGTTGTGAGGTGTTCTTTTCAACAGCTGGCATCTTTTTCATTTATCATGGACAGTATGATACCATAAATCAACTAGCAATTCTAAGTTATACTGTACTAAGATTCTTGACTCATCGTGTACTGTTATCTCCTCTAGCATGCCCAGGTTAATGGAAAAAAAAATTCTTATCACGACTCTTTCTTATTCCTCTCTAAAGCACTGAAGAAAACACCCACTGTTTAGTAACTACAGCACCAACTGCTCTTTACATATTTTTTTTTTAATCTCTGTTCCCTGCCAAATGCATTTTCTTTAAATGGGTGGGGAGGAAGGGAAGAATAAAGGGAATGGGAAAAGAACTGAAAAATCTTACCTTGCTTTTAGCTAGTAAACGTGTAGTGTGACAATTCGTTATAATTGGTACCTCTTGCACAGCATGTTCAATGAGATTATTTTCTTCAAATGAATATGCAAAACGCTTAGGGGGGTGTACTGGAGAGGTGAGCTGAAAATAGCAAGTGCTGGTGGTATGTTCAGGATGAGATTCCAATTCAAATTCACAGGCCCACGTAGGTAGCTGAGAAAACACGGCATTTCAAGTGAGACCCTTATACCGCTTCTGTAAATTTTGCCTAGTGTGTCCTTCAGAGGAAAAGATTTTTAGTATCAAGATAATTATCTTCAGTTTGTATGTAGCACAATCTGCATTTCTTTTAAATTCAGTAATGAAAGAGTCAAAATGAAAGACTTTGCCAAACTTTTCCCTTAAGGCCATTGGATGAAGCTCAACAATGAAATAAAAAAGGAAAAATAAATGCAAATTCAGTTTAAAATGGGCATTAGTGCAGATTTTTTTTTTAAGTTTAAAACATTCTTTGAAATTATTCTGCATTGTTTTTATTTTTTAGATCTTATTTCCTCTCTGATTTCCAGTTCTACTTCAACATGTTATAAAGCCAAGTCTGTGTCAGTTGTTATGCTTTTGCTCAGTAATGCTAAGCCACTGAAAACCCCTGCCTCTTAACTTCATTCCTAGTGCCAGCCATTGTGAAGAACAAAACCTTTTCCTGGCACATTCACCCTCAGACACTTACTGCTATTATATTTAAGATTTTTAACTCTGCTAAGAATAAAAGAAATCAAGATTCATTCTTTGAGAGCAGCAGGGACATAGTCAAACCCTCTGCCAGGCCACTGCTTACTTGGGTTAGGTTGCTGGAGACTTCTGAAATGGCAGCAAAAGTCCAAGTTCTCTGGAGTAACTGCAAACCCTTCCTGAATAAATAAACTAGGACCATTTTAAAAAATGAAAGGTTTCAGAGACCATACAGTGTACTTTGCTGAAAGCCTTTTTCTGTAGCAGTTTTATAGAATGCAGTATTGGTAGCTTGGCACAATAAACTTGCAAGTTCTTCAGATTGTATTTTTCAGGCAAACAAATCAATTAAATATTTCATCTGAATGGTCTCCAGAAATCATGGTTTTGAATTGAGTCACTTTGTTTTTAATCCACAAGTATTTAGCAACATCTAGAGAAGGGAAGAAATACTTTGCACAAATTGTACTGCAGTATCAACTCTTCTCATTTATTATGGGACAGTGTCCATATTTGTCTTCTGAATGTTCTAATCTTTCTTCTCTGGGAGGGCCAGGCTTCTTTCCTTGCACACGCTGATGAGTGTAACCAAAAATATGCTCAGTAAAACCAAGAAGAGTGTTTAGGGAATCAAGTCCTATTTTACATTAGAAATGTGCTGTATTGTAAAGAGCTTGACAGTAATGAGTTGAAGAAAGACCTAACAGATAAGATAGCTGCTCTTTACCTTTCTGAGTGATACAGTAAGCCACCATATGAAATCCTGAAGAGCACCTACAGGTAATACAATTACTCACAATGACAAACTTAGCAGTATTATAATTTCCAAACCACTTCTACTCTTGGAATTTATTTTGCTTTCATTATAGTGTTATGTTAAAAAAAAAAAAAGGTGCTGGAAAAATATTATGCTGCTTAAGCCAAACTAAAACTTACCTTTATTGACTGAACTGAATATGAAACAAAAGAAATCACACTTAAGTAAAGATAACCAGCATTCTTCAGGAACAAAATACAGTGATCACTGAACATCTCCAAGTCTACTAGCTTGGTTTTCTCTTCCACTGCATAAACTAACTGCCAGTTCTCCATACCACTGGAAGCTACTGGTGCCTTCATCAACTATAAAAACAAAAAACAACCTCGCTTTAGTAAGATGCAGAAAGAGTTAGAAATGAGATGTACAGAGATACAGGTGATCTCCTGCAACATTTTTATTGCAAAAAAATACTGGTTTGCATTGGAGGGTTTTGCCTGAGTAGAACTGGTACTTTTTAAACTCCCTTGACTTGGGCAGAATGGAAGAACAATTTGGTAACATATGGAAAAGTAAGTTCAATTCACATAGATTAATCTATAGAAGATTTTCATGCAATAAATGCTTTCAGTGTGGCCAGCAGAACTGTAGGTGGTTTGGTTATACAGACTGAGATCACCAACTTAAATTTTAATAGAGGGGAAATGACTGTTAAAGCACACTCATTTCCTGATGTTGCCAAAGGAGCTGGAATCAAATTGGCATGCTATAGGTGAGATTCCACATACTACTCTCAGTCTTTCAATCCATGCAGCTCTCTAATTCTCTGGAATTATTTCAGTAAGCTGTGAAGCACAGAATTAAAAGCCAGCCTTACTATTTCTATATTATCTGCAACAGATATCTGAATTAATCCTATGAATCTTATTATCAGTTAAAATTACCTTATATTCTCCAGGTTCTCCATAGGTAGTGAGAATATATAACTCATCATTTCTGTGCTCAACGTGGTAAATGACCCCTTTTGTTCGTGCTTGTACAAGAGCGGGTAACTTAAAAGGATGTCTACAGTCAACCAGCCAAACTTCAGAGGTTGTCTTGCTGTTGCTGTTGATAGTGAGGAAGCGCCTATCTTTTGTGCAATACAGGTCCACAAAGAATCTATCAGGAATAATTAAAAAAAAAAAAAAAAAGGAAGCTTAAACTTGATTAGTATTTTAAAAATACACCCATTGTTTCAGAATCATGGGCTTCCATCTGCAGGGTAAGAAACAGCATGCCTATAAGTAGGCTGGCAAAGTTCCAGACTATTTGGTTCCCAAACTCACTCCTGCTGCATTTATCCTGGGACTCAAAAACCCACAATCTTGTGTGTGGAACCTGGAATCTGCAAGGAAAGCAGTTCAGTTGTTGCCCAAGTGAATCCAGGTTTTTCTATCACTGAGATAGACTGGAAGCGCATTCTCTAAAATTCAGGAAAAATGTACAACTTTTTATTGAGCTTGTAACCCTGTTTTTTAAAAGATGTAACAATGGATAATGAAATTTAATAAAGAACATCATGTAGGAAAAGCAGCAACAAAAGTAGGAGCTATTATAAAGATAAACTGATAAAAAGCCTAAGTGTTACTGACCTAACTGTCTGAAGCAAGTAAGACAAAAGAGATTATTTGGAGAAAAAAAAAAAAAAAAAAAGACAGACAGTGTTGCAGTGATAAAGCTGGAAACGAGGAACTGGTTTTAGAACTATCTACTGGTTTTAAATGCTTCTAAAATCTAGAAGCAGAAAGCAGAATGATAACCAGTGGCTGGATGCTAAAATTAGATGAGTTCAGGCTGAAATTCAAATTCAAATTTCTAGTGAGTCATCCTAATTAACTGAAATGTCACATCCTGGGACATAGCAGTTTCTTTGCCATTTTGAATCTTTAAGACTGGATGTCTCTAAGAGCAAAACTATGTCCAACACAAAGATCCAGAAGATTTCATCAAAAACTGCAGGGCTGAGTACCATAATCTGCATTACACAGATCAGATACATGATTGCAATAATGATCCCTTTAGACTTCAAAATATTTGGTGAAGGAAAGGGTGATTTAGATAGATAGCATTTTTCACTGCCTTTTAATTATTTGCAGGTGGAGGAACTCAAATTTTTTTTTGTACTATTGTTTTTTCTAATTGCACTCTCTTGACATCTTTAGGAGGACAGGCACAGAGGGGGATCTAAAGTCTGCAAGGAATCAGCCTCCTGCATCTCGAATACACACAAATTTGGCAATCTCTACTGAGCACGGCACTGCATTCAGTAGAGATTCCAACAGTTCAGGCTCTGCTGACCTTACCTCTAAAAGAGTCAAGCTGAAATGCAGGTTATACTTCTACCCAGGGACTCCCACCTTGATATTACAAATTTTTCTGTTGTTTTTGTAGCTTTTTTTACGGAAGTCAAGAAATTTTCAGCTTCTAAAAAAAAAATATATTTGATTGCACCTAAAAGAGCTGGCGAGATGCAGAATGGAACTGCTCAATGGCAATACAAAAGAATGTCTTGCCATCTCTGATGAACAAGTGAGTTCAGTTATGAGCTGCAAAAGCACATGAACCTTTAGAGTAAGTTTCTAGTAGATTTACTATAATGACTATGACCTTCAGAGTTATGCCAACAGTTTCCCTGTAGGGAAGTGTCAGGTCAGTGCAACTTGATTTGCCAGAAGTATGCATCAAATACAGCTGGAACAAAAGGATCTTATTTACTTCATCTCAATTGCAGAATTTTTTCTGTTTTTTCAGATGGAGGCATAATTGAAATTTCTTTACTGAATATGTAACTTGAATTAAGAATAATCACAAACATTTATGGAATGCTGTACAAATCTACCACATGCTACATGGCTGAAAAACTAGTTCTGCACTCAATTTAGCAAGAGCCTTCTTGTCTTCCTAAACCATTGCTTAAAGAAAGGTTATTGAGAGGGTATTCAGTCAACAATAGTTCTATCTCTGGGAATGCTGTAATGATTTTACTCATCCATTACCCAGAGCAAGGATTAGCCTGAACTTCTATGGTTTTTAAAAGATGTATCAGACATCAATAGCAGAGAAAACAAAATGAAATCCACAGTCTGATTTACCCTGTATGAAACTGTCACACATTCATTAAAGGACACTCTGACCTGAGACTGACCTTGACATTTATAAACTCAGCTGAACTCCTGAGGTAAGAGAGGAAAGTTAAATCTTTGTTGATCACATATCAAGAGGAGAACAGAGCACGTTCTCATACTGCATAAGGCACTACTGACAGCAGAACACAACTTAAAAATGCCTTTTACCATTTGAAATATGATACGGAAGAATTTGTTTGCCAAACCATTTATATTTTACATATAAAATACTCTAGAATACGTAAAGGACTTGTTTTATTTTAGGTAAGTATTACCTTGCATCTTGTTCTGTATAAACTAACTTAGTATGTTTCTGATTAGTGAAAGTGGTCATAAACACATTCTGGCATTTAAGGTTCTTCTGACTTGTGTAATACAGAACATCATCTGTAGCCCATTCTGGAAAAAAAGATAAATGCATATCAAATTTGGAACAGTATATACTATTGCTGAGAAAAAAATGAAGCTCCATGAACACTGGACTCAATGCTGAAAAAGGTGGGTTGCAGCCAACGTGGAACTGAGGAGAGCACTTCTACGTCCCAGAGGCGTAAGTAAGGTAAGTCACAAAAAGATTTTTCCATGTTTCCTCTGAATCCCACAGAACAAGAATCTTGGGTTGTTTTTTTATTTTTTTTTTAAAAAAAAGAGCAGAGGACAATATTCCAGGGCCCAGGAAGAGGAAGCTCTTAACCCTGTGGGGGTTCTGGAGGTTACAGGAAAATAGAAAATGTGTGGCTGTTTAAAACTGAGCAGAGAAACAGAGGTTTACAGGGAGTCAGCAAGATAATAAAGAGTATGAGCCCTGAACTGCTGCATGTGACTGCATGCAAACCATGTAGAGAATAGAGATGATGCATGTGCTCCATGGGTACTGCTGACATAAAAATTCTCCATTTTTCTATGCTTGTATATGTGTTCACCAACACTAGAAACGAATACAGGAATACAGGAATATTTGCTATGCTATTCTGAAGTTTACTAATTTGACTGATCCAGCCAAATTACTGCTTTCTCTGCTGCTCCTACAGCCACTGGAATGATGTTTAATATAAGTGCTTTAAAAAGTTATTGTATGCTGTCTTATGCATAGATTTTCAGTACAAAACCCAAGGAAGTACCACACTGAAGTAATGCAAACAAGGGGTAATGGGTTTAAGCTGAAAGAGGGTAGATTTAGATTAGGTATTAGGAAGAAATTCTTTCCTGTAAGGGTGGTGAGACACTGGACCAGGTTGCCCAGGGAACTTGTGGATGCTCCTCCCTGGAAGTGTTTAAGGCCAGGTTGGATGAGGCTTTGAGCAACCTGGTCTAGTGGAAGGTGTCCCTGCTCGTGGCAGGGGGGTTGGAACTAGATGATCTTTAAAGTCCCTTCCAACCCATACCATTCTATGATTTGCTATCTGAACAGCAATGTGGCTCCAAAGTGTACAGGCAGCTGAGGATTCAGTAAGAAGACAAGCCTTCAGAAGGGAAATCCAAGTTCTTCTACAGCCTACCATTTAAAAAACCACAGATGTAAGTTTTCAAGAACTTTTTATTTGTCTGCCTGCTATTGCTTATCATGCAATACAAGCATGTACTTTGCAAGTGGTGATAAGACCTGTCTTGCTCACAATTGAGGGACCTCTGTATTTCATGATACCTCTGTACCTCACTTACACCTGAGTAAGTTTACAAAACAGGTGTAATCTCTACCATTCTAACAGTCACTTTTTGTACTCTTATTAAAACCTGCCATAATCTGTCACACCCACGTAGGCAACAGGGAGTTGGTTTCTTAAATGTACTGATTCTTCCAGACAAACCCAGATAGATGTTCTAATCAAGTATAGTGAAGAATGTCACTGGCAAATTTCAGGCCTGGTTTTCAACAGGCATTTTAAACTTCAATTGTGCAAACACAACATTAAATTCTTGCTGCTCTCAAGTTCTGTAACTAGCAACTTTTACCTAGAGTTTTAAATTCTTGCCCTGCCCAAGCAAATTGCTTACTGTAGTATATATACTTGATGACATCTAACAGCATAATCCAAAATACAAGATGTGTAGCTTGTATACACACCATTGCACTCTTTTTGCTATATTCTTTAACGTACTATAAAAGTGGAAAGATTTCCCATTCATTTCAGTTTACCTCTGCTTATTTTAACAGCAATGTAAAGCTCTGTCATCTATTCTGAAAGAACTGACTCCAGGCCTGACTGACTTCTCTGGGCTCTGAATTGTGACACACATCCTAGAGTCCAGTTGCAATTCCAGCCAGTACTTAATAGCAGGCAGCACCTGCACACTTCTCAGCGAAGCCAAGTGCCTACAGCTATCGGTGACTTCCGCTGCAGCTGTAAGGGTTTCATAAGTAGAATGTTTCTCAAAAAGATCTTTACATTGCAAATAGTTATGTAAGTAATTTTTTAAAGAAGCCTATTGGATTAAATAAAAAGAATGATATGCACGACTGTTCAAACATGTATAAATGCTTGCTTTTACAATGAAGGAAAAGTTGTATCATTAAAGTAGTCACTCTCACCCACATTGGATAATTTATAATTGTGCAGTGTGGAAGAAATCTTAAATAAGAAACAATTAAATCTAAAAATGTTTCTTCCTGATTTTTATTAAAATATTTTAATACTATTTGTAGACTAAAAAAAATGCTGTGTTGAAAGCAGGTGTGATCCACAAGATATTTATCAACAACTTACCAAAACTGAATACATTTGAAATTACTTTTTCCATGACTGGAAAATTACCAAGTTTCATAATAACGCAGGTTGCCTCTTCAGAATTTTCACTTTTTAAGCTGATAGCCATGTATCTCTGATCTGGTGAAATTCTGATCCGTTGAATAAAGACATCAGAAAAGCCAAGATCTTCAGTACTGAATAAAATGTCAACATTTCCTTCATCTAATACATAAAAAAAATAGAGATAGCAAAAAAATTCTGTAATTAGGCATTGTCAAAATGAACAGTGGGTGTTAATGCCTGTATTTAACAAGTCTGCCTGCAATATTCACAAGCATACTACTAGAATTTATTAACGCCAAGTATTTCTCTTGCAAGATATTCGCAAATGCACTTTGTAAAATAAACAAAAACTGACAGTTCCAGAAAAAAAAAAAAAAAGTCTTGTAGTTATTATTAAGATCTTAAAAGTGTAGATAGTGGCTTCTAGTAAATGTATTAAATCTTAAAGTTCAGATACCTAAAGCATCTGCTGTTTTTACTAATTAGTAATTTCCTCCCCCTCACTCTCTTGGATGTAAAAAAGCATGAATGTGCTTTTCCTTTTTCAAAAAGTAGTTAGGGCTCTAAAAATAAATGACTTCTCTCTTTCCTCTCCAAAAGCTTGCCTTAGCATCAATATATACTATTCCCTAACTCTCTTCACCTCACCTTTTCAGATTCAGGATTCTAGAATTAATCAATAATTAAAAATTTTATAAAAGTATTTTTAGTTTAGTTATTTTAAGAAACAGAGCAATTAAGCTTAAATGTATGAAAAGTACACTAAGTGATATATATACAACATTTTTAACATTGTACCATGTTAGGAAGAGAAATGCCTTACCATCATCTGCTTTTGAAAGAAATACACAGCCATTCTCTTCAAAGTACACATTCTCTCCAAACCTGATCTGTTCAATACAAACCAAACATGTTTCAAGTCCAACATATAGTTTGACAATTTCCTTAGAATCCTTATATTCAATCATTGTTCTGTAGAACACAATTGTAACACACACAAATGACAGAATATAGCAGATATAATTGATGCTAAAGAAGGAATTGCATGCACCAGAAAGGTTCTTTGCAATTTAGGGTACTTAAGCTACCTATACCTGCTCTAAATTTAACAAAAGGCTCAGATCACCTGCAATTGCTCTTGTAACTCACGGTGTCTTGTATTCTTTACCAAAAGTCAGATGATTATTGTATTTTTCCTTGCTTTTGCCTACGGAGAAATTACAGTATATACACTATCGTAACAGATACAAGCTGTTCTAAACACATGCTGTTACTATCCACAATTATTAAAATATTCAACACTCAAAACTTCCACCATAAAGTAACCAGTAAAACACCATTTCATAGAAGGAATGGCTTCGCTGCCTTTGATTTGTACTCAGTGATGAAAAATGTTTGCATTTTTTGCCACTTACCTTTGGGCTTCCTGAATTGAATGCATACTTGTGCAATTCTTTCAATTTTTCTTTGATTCTTTTTGTCATAGCTTTGTATCTTGCTGAAATGTCATTCCAGTTTTCCTGCTCTGATTTCAGGAGATTCTTGTACAAAAGCTCTGATGTTATTATGGATGTATTTTGCTTCCTTTTGGAAGGGATTTTTGTTCCTTCCTCCTAAGTAAGGAAACACAACAATGGCTACAAGCCAACATTCTGTACTCCAATATGAATATATTGAGGCAATAATGATATTTCCTGAGCTACGGACCCAAAACCAACTTTGCATTGTTACAATAGTACATGACATTAAAAAGAAAAACCACAGTTGGAATAAGTTTTTCTTTTTAATTCTTCCTGCTCTTGCCTGGAGGCATTGTCAAATATGCTTTACTTGACACATTTATTGAGGTCTTCACTTCAAAATTCCGGGTACTATTCATGTATGCTCTTAATTTATTATATGTAAATGTGTTTGTTCTTGTTCTAGAACTAGTTTTTATTTAATTGTGATGGAATTCGGTTATTTTTCCTTCTGAGGTGTCTTCTCATAATTTTTTTGTCTTAAGGGTATCATTTCTCAATTCCTTTCCCAGATAACAATGCTACCCACACCTCTGTCCCTAGGAGTCCTAGCAGCTTGTTCAGGTTCTTGCTCCACCTCCTCAAAAGTGTTAGTATAAACACTCATAAGGCGCAGAATGAAGTGAAGCAGTTAACTGATACGGGTTCTGCAACGGTTTTATGAGGAATAAGCTTAAAGATCTGGTTTTCCATGGGCAGACTACTGCTACCTCATTGCCAATAAAGCTGTCTTGTCTTGTAAAAATGTTAAAAATGTGTTAAAATTGCTAGCACCATGCTACTTCTTTTTGTCTGCTGTAAAATCTTGTTTGATCAAATAATAAGCTTAACAACATATATTACAGAATATAACACTGCACAGATCACACAAAGTAGCATTTTGTAACATTCAATGTATTATGTGAATGTGTCTAAACTTAAAAGCAGCATATACTTTTTACCCCATCCTCACGTTGCATGAAGAACTGATGGTTTGTTCCTGGTTTGTCTTCAAATGCATGTGATCTAAACTGTGCATGTTATGAGTAGACTTTGAAAAGAAGAGTAACTATCTGCTCCAGTTACTGAACTCCCTATGAATGTAAACCCCATCATTCCGGAGAGCATATGAGTGTTCATTACTGGTTCAGAGCAATGGTCCTTCTAGCCTAGTATGTCAAATCAGAAGCACAAGTCAAAGAACTGTGAAAGCCCTTAGAGAAGCTCTGGAGCAATTGTGCCATTGGATAAGGTAAAGAAACTGCAGGATCTGTCAGTTCTACCACAGTCACTGGAAAAATTGCTGTAAGAAAGCACCATTCCCCAAACCAGAAGCAAGCAAACAAAAACCTCACAGTGGCCACAAATGGATACTTAGGAAGCAGAAGAAGGGGACAAGCACAGATGATATTCCCAACACGTATTCCCCCAGCCTTCAACCATTTTAGCTCAGGAACTGCCCGAGCCAAGTATGTTTTCTGGATACTTAAAAAGTTTTTCATGTACGTGTATCATCTCCCCTTGTAACTATGTAAAACTTTAGCACCCAAAACTTAACTTGGCAACTTCCACACTTTATGAATCTTTTGATGATTCTCCTCCTTTTGTTTTCAACAGTTCCCATTGTATTTACTTGGAAATATTATATAGAGCTGACAGCGCCAGTGTAGGTACATATAGTGTATATATATATATATATTTTCCCTGCCTGGGGGAAAACAAGTTACCTAGAAAAGGCATCTAGAAAGATTTTGAGGGTAGGAGAGGATCTCTGTGACAGACAGTCTGCAAACATTTGTTCCAAAGCAAACAAGCACAGCTTCCTTTCAGTTAAAAACCACTTGTTTGTATTCTGGAATGGTGTTGTAGACCAGCTTTTCTAACTGTGTTAGTAAACTGCCAATGAATAAACAGAACCACACATTCTCATCCATCAAAACTTTGTATGTTTTCCTTGAAACTCTTCTTTACGTTTCAGACACAGACTTAGGAACTGTTGACATGGTTAGAAATAAGAGGGTTACAACAAGATGATCTTTGGTTCACCTTTGAAGAAACACTGTCTACCTGAAAAAATTTTAGAACAAACACACATCCATCTGAAAACGAGTTTAACATAAAATAAACCAAAACACCAATCTTTTTAAACAGCATTAATGCATTATGCATATAAATTGATTTATAGGCTGTCATACTGCAGTAAGCTTTCATAATACCTTCAGAAAACTCTGTATTACAAACACAGGAACAGAAGACCTGCAACTATTTCAGACCATTTTCATGTGCATGATACATTGCCACTAATTTACACAATATTTACTTACAGAAATAAATGGAACTAGCTTCTAAAGTATAGGTTATCACAAGTTAATACAATTATGAAAGGCCATAGAATATTTTAGTATTTAATATAGTGCAAACCATGACTTATTGGTCAGCACAGAAAAGGTCAAGGTTTTTTGAGCCAGCTCACATTGGTTAAGTCTGGTGTCATCTGTTTGCCTCTACACTAGCTGATCTTTCCCTGCAGTTTTCTCGTGACGCTTCATCTGAATCTTTCTGGAAGATACCAGTCTTTTAAAAATTGCTGCAGCAGGAAAATAAACCAAAATGCAGCTTTCCATCAGAACAGTAGAGCAAAGCTGATCTATAGGATATGTCTTTGAAGAAAACTAACATCCTAGTACTTATCCCCCTGCTTCAAACCCTTCAGGAAAAACGTGTTTCCTTAACATTTGAGAAATATGGCTGGCTTCCTTAACAGATGTGCCAAGGTGGTTGTCTATACTTAAAACAGCATACCTTGCAGGAAAAGAATCTCCACGGCAGGATGCTTCCAGGTGGCACAGCCTTGCGTGTGCATGCACTTCCTGAACAGTTCAGGATGTGGCATTTTTTTGGTTTTATTTTACTATAAAGACATACTGTTTGTAGGTGGTTATGCTTAGAGTAGTATCTGACAGTGAAGCTCGGCCCTTGGAGAAGATTTCGCAGTCCAGCACACAACGTCTTAACCTTCATTTCTTGATAGTCAACCTGCAATTTCTGAAAATCCCAAACTGCTGATCAGTACACTGTCAACGTGAAATATACATAACATAAACTGAAAGTAAAACTTCCTCTCTTTCAGAGAGAGGAGGCTGATTCATTAGGTAAATCAGATGAGAAGTAAAACTTAAGCTGTTTCTTGACAAGTGGTACCCACAGCCTGGCTGGCATATGAACCTGTGGCTCCTGGTGGTTTAAAGTTTAGTGAAACTGAATGAAACAAAAGGAAGATGTAACTGAGCGTATTTAAATGAACCAAAAACTGGGAAGGTTTTGGAAAGCTTTTTGGGAAGCTTTTTCCCCCTTTAGAAGTATCATCGAACAATAAAATCACTTTTGTCTCAAGAGGGGGACTCGGCGGCCAGACCTGAACCCCTGGCAGGAAAACTGACAGGTTTGCGGCCCGGCGGGCTCAAAGGCCTCACGTTTCACCGCCCGCGTTCCCGTTCCCCCGTTTCCCCCGTGGTGAGGGCCTGGGGAGCCGGCCCGGCC